CTTGGGAGCAGATCTGCTGGGCCTTTAATAACTGTGTTAATCACCTCCGCCTCTCTGCCTCTGGCTGGTCAGTCTAGGAGGCTACAAGTCTGGGGGCTGCTGTTGAGGTGTTTTTCTCTCCCAGTGGGGAGTCCAGGAATGCTGTCCGAGCCAGTATTCAGATGGAGACGAGGTGTAACTCATTTAGTGAGTTTTAGCAGTTCATCCTAAATGGGAAATGCAATTCGGTGGTCAGGGTTTAACTCTGGGCTGTTGCCTCGGCTATACCACACTAATAAACTGAGTCCTAGAGCAGGCTGGGCCGTGCGGGCAGCTGCTGAACAAGCAAGACCCTGGCCTTTTTATCACACGGCATCAGTGAGGGAGGTAGGAGGACAAGGAGAAAAAGATGGGCGAAACTAAAGAATGTGTTTTAGTCATCTAGGGCTTTGGAGGGGCATGAGTCTGCTTATTTGTTTATGAACAAGTGTTCATCTGCGTGGTGTGAGTGTTCTTACCTGCTTGGGAACAATCGTTCTAGTTTTTAAAAAGGATTTATTTATGTATGCCTACAAGAGCTCAGGTGCAGGCCAGAGGTGTGTGGGGGTGGGGTGGGGTGGGGTGAGAGGCTTTTCAGAGGCAGAGTGGGGTGCAGAACAGGCAGATCTGCTGAGGGGAGAGAGAGCAGGCTGGAGAGGTCTGCAGATAGCTCCGTGGTATTGAGACTTAAACCCTTGCACCACCAGGGAGGCCCCCATGGTTCTAATCTTGTCAACAAGGCATTCCACTGATCAGCTTCTGGGTTCCCTTGTCATACCTTGCCACCCCCAAACCCTGGGCTTTTCCGGTCATGCCTGGTGCTGTGCAAGTCGGGAATACGTTTATGCATAGGTCATGGTCCCGGGCGTTCCTGGCCATACCTGTAATGCATAATGCATGGCCTTCCCAGAATGACCCTACTTTCTGCTCTCGGTTGAGTGGAAAAGCACCTTGTAAGGTCTGGCTCCCGTAACCGACTGGCCGGGCAGTTTTGACTTTGTATAGGAATGCAGAACTGCAGGTAACAAAGAATGAGGCTGACCGAAAAGGCCGCTGAAGTCTCCAGACCCACTACGTTTATCCATTGTGTTCTGTTCTAAGTTTCCAACAACAGGGGGTGCCTGTGGGGGAAGGGAGAACTGGAAGGGCACTTTGAAGAGATTGGAGAGGAGACCTGGGGGGAAGGGAGGTCTGAGAGCACTGGAGGCTGGTGACTGTTGGGAGTGGTACTGGAGGTGCAGTCAAGGTGATGAGGTGGGGTTCATTGAGGGGCCTTGGGTTGCCTTTGGGGAAAGTTTGGCCGCATTCCTCTTTTAGGGGCATGTGTTGAGTTGGCTCAGGGGACGAAGACTTTTATATAGCACAGGCAGGTGAAGGTTTCATCTTCCAAAGGACAGGTTTACTAGAAAAGGAACGGAGATGCCTGCAGAGACAAGCCGGCAGGAGCTGCCCTGAACGGCACAGGTTTGCTGAGAGAGAGGCCGGTGTAGACTGGGGGCCGGCACAGACTGGGGACCAGCTGCCGCCTTGCTGAGGTTCGGAGACAGTGTTCTTTTGCGGGGAGGGGCTCATTTCTCTGTGGAATTGTTGTCTGGTGTTAAGTTAGTCTCTTCCAGGGTGTGGCTGGGTGATTCCTAAGAGCTGATGACCTGTTATGGCCCTCAATCTCATGTCCACACCTCGGGTCCAGGTCCACAGGTCCATTCTACAGCAGTCCACACCTCAGGCTGTTCTAAAGACTTTTTCCATTTCTATAGCTTGATTGGACGATTTTCATCATTAAAAGGGGAATGAAAAAATGAATAACTCGGGGAGAAAGAGAGAAATTGGTGAATGCGTCCCACTAGTTCCACTGACTGGAAACCCAGTGACACTCTGAAAGCCAGCGAAAGCCAGACTCAGAGCGTTAACTCCACCGGAGCTCCCAGCATCCTCCCTCCCATGGGGATGACATTACCGATTTGCAGGCCTTGGTGTCTTGGATATCTCTGGTCTAGGGGTGGGTTGCATAAATCCTATTTGTGGAATTTGTCCAGGACATTCTTTCCCCCCAACAATAGGATATGTTTACTTATACTTTTGAAGAATACCGACAAACACCCTCCAGCGCCCTTAGAGAGGTGAGCGTGGTTAGTACTTTACATACTGCCTGCTAAGCAATGTAAGAAAGCAGGCAGGGTGAAAGGAAGGTTGAAACCAGAGTTTAGGATAATAAGGAGCAGATAATAAGGAGCGGCCTTTATGGTCTATTGCAACCCCGGGGAGGTTCACAAATTCACACTGGGGTCTGAGAAGTCACCCAGTTCACAGGCTAGGTAGGTTTTATAGGTTGGGGAGGGGGAGTAGAAGTTTTTCTGTGAGGCGAGTAAGCTTAGTTGTTTGCTTGTTGATCTGTATCTAGCTCTTGGAGGTGCATCCGGGCCTAGGGGTGGGGTGGGGGTGGGGTTTCAGGAGCCGCCAAGTCCAGTTTTTTCTGTTTTGAAGTCATGAAGTTATCTCTGGAATGTCCCTGAGCGCTGGAGGACCCATGACCACACAATCACACAACCAACACTTGGCACCATCAAATTTTAAAATCTTAACGAAAAAGAGATTTCACTGTTTTTTATTTGTATTTATTTTTTTTAAATATTTACTTACTTATGCATACAGAACTGGGGTACAGGCCAGGGGTGCAGGGGGTGAGAGGATTCCCCAGAGACAGAGTGGGGAGCAGAACAGGCAGATCTTCGAAGTACACTGCTGAGGAGAACAGTGGGTGGGACAAGAGAGGTCTCCAGAGCAGGTGGGGATCGAACTCATGCTGGAGTGACTTTAGCTTCTCAGTGCTGTGCTTTAACCTGCTGCGCCACCAGGGAGGGCCCCTTGTTTTTTAAAGCTGCATCTTCCTGATTAATACTGAAATGGATCATGTTTCATATACCATTAGCCATTTTCTTATTTTATTGCCTTTTTATGTCCTCCATTTTAAAATTCTGTCTTTTTCATATTCTCATAATTTGCATCCTCCCTCTAAGTGATGTCCTTGGTTACACTGGACCTCTGAAGGCTGCATTTCAACCATATGACCTTAGTGCGGGTGACACTGGACTGTCTTATGTACTTGACTGAAGTTTGCCGCAATAACCACAGAATCACATGAAAACCATCATTTGCTCTGAAAATATGGGGTAGCATCCTCTCCTGTAAACAGTTTCTTGGGATATAATTTGACTTTTAGTTCAGTGCCAAGGAAAGTTTTACTTCCCTTCAGGAGTTGATCTCTTTTGATAATAAGACAATCACTTTAGACCCTCGCCACCTGCATTCAGGTGGGACTTTCACGTGTCAACCCTGCAGTTCACCCATCCTGCAGCTGGGCTGGTCCAGACAATCTGATTATTTTGTTCTTTCTCTTTTGCTAGTTGTGATCTTCATTTGAAAAAAAATATTTATTAATGCATACAAAAACCATCCTAGGTAGAGGTGCAGGGTGGTGGTGGTGGTGGATGTGTGTGTGGGCTAAGAGGATTCACCAGAGACAGAGTGGGGAGCAGAACAGGCCAACTGACAAATACACTGCTGAGGGGAGCAGCGGGCGGGTCAGGAGAGGTCTGGCTGTGGCTGCCGGATAGTTTCATAGTGTCAGGAAGGCCCCGTGATCTTCATTTTTTATGTGTAGGTGCTCTGTTACAAACTGCCTCAACTCCCTTGTAGAATTAAGAGACTTGGGGTGGGAGGGTCGGGGGAGAGCAAAGGACGGGAGAGAGAATGAGCAGGGGAAGCACCCTACTTTGACTTCTCCCCACAGCAGGACAAGGTTGCAGCACCCACTTGAAGACCTGACAGGCAGCTGCTAACGCTCTGTTTCCCCGCAGAGAAGGGCTGCCCCGCCCAGCGCCCCTGCTGGCTCAGCCCAACCTCCCCTTTGGGTACCCGGTGCACGGGGTGGAGGTGATGCCCTTGCACACCATTCCAGTCCCAGGTAGGTCCACCTCCCTGTGGAGAGGCGCAAAGTGCCTTATTCCCTCTTAGGCAGAAGGAGAAGGTGGAAGGGAGTGTTGGTCTCTGAATACTTGAAAGATGCTTGGCGTAATTTCATTGAACGTTAGACAGTTTCCAGCCAGGGAAACTGGAAATTCCCTTAGCAGCTGTAACCCACCTGGGCCCTCTACAGCTCCCCAGCAGAGGGCAAAGCTGGTGACTCTTGGGGGAGGTGCATACCAGGTGAATATGTACATCTCCTCACACTCCGTTCCCTGGGGCATGTTCTACTCCTTCCTCATTCCTCTAGGCCGCCTCTCTGGGAAATCTGTGTTATTTCCCAGCTTCACAGATGAGTTCAGTAAGCTAACTTACCAGTAAGTCATCTTACACAGAGGGTAAGCTTGCATTAGCCCTTGAGTTAGTCGTATTTTAAGAACAGAGATAGATTCTGAAGACAGCATTTAGTATGAATTGCTAGTGTTCTTTTAATAGTGATTTGAAAATACTTGCCATTTTGCATGATTTTTAAAATCAGAGTAAAATAGACATTATTCAAAACTTACCATTTTTCAGCGGACGTGCTGTTGCATGAAGTATATTTTAGCACTCCTCTCTCCCCACCGTCTCTGGCAACCACCATTCTACTTTCTATGAATTCGACTATTCTAGGGACCTCATAAAAGATGATTCACTGTCCATCGCTTCCTTCCCTCCATAGTGGAGATACCTGGAAGACTGCCTGAATTCACAGCACCCCTCCAAAGCTGAGGGTGGGCACCAGAGGATTTAGAACCACTGGAATTTGAAAAGGCCCATGGGCCCCACTGAACAGAACCCTGGGTGAGGGGAGTGGTCAGCCAGAGCACCCTGGAGAGGAGGTGACCCGTAAAGGGAGTCTGAAGGGGAGTCAGCCAGGAAGCTGAACGCACAGGGGGTCCCTGGCACCCTCTCAGCTGGGCCCCTTTTTTGTCTTCCTTGTGTCTTCCAGGTCTCCAGTATGAAGGACCAGACGCCTCTGTCTATGAAGCAAGTTCTCCCTTCAAGCCCCTTAAGCCAGGCTCCCCGCCCTCACCCCTTGTCCCACTGGCCACTCTTAGATTTTGAGTACCCAGATAGTGAGTCCCTCAGGCTGGCAGCTGGCTCTCCAGAGATAACGCCTGGAGATAACTGCCTTTAGTCACTAGCATGGGAAGGCAGTTAAAGCTGCCTCCAGGGGAGTAAGAAGAGAAAGAGGTGCAGAAGCAAACCCTGAAAAACTCCCTTTGGAGGTCGGGCAGAGGAGGCAGACACTGGCACATGGAAGTCTTTAAAAGGGGCAGTCAGCAGGAGTAAGAGGAAAGCTAGAAGGCTGGCTATTGCCAGGCAAGAGACGAGAAGTGGCCTTGACTGGCCAGCGGGGTTGATGCTCCTTTCCTGGGACAACTGCAGTCGCCTTCTGCAAACTCCAACTTCTCTCACCCTATGCGCCGCCCCCTGCTGGCCATCCCTGGTGTGTCCCTTTCCTGCATTTATCCTCCTACCTCACCCTAGGTCACCCTGACAGCTTCTCTGGGGACACTGAACACGCTCGCTAACATCCCAGACCGTGTGGTGAAAGGCAAAGGCCAGAAGCGGATGACCGTTTCAACCAATAACCGGGAACTTTTGAATTTCATCCTCCAGCACGTGACCTACACCAGCACACTGTACCAGCACCACCGGGTGGATGTGGGTGAGAGCCTGCCTTGGGTGGCAAATGCTTAGGAAGCTGGGAAGCAACTCTGGACCCTCGCAAAGTCTTCCTCCTCCAGGAAGCCTGCCTGCATTTAAGATTTTCCCCTTGTTCCTGTTCCTAATCCTGGACGCCTAACTTCCCAATGACAGTACTGTCTCCGCTGAGTTCTCTGAGGAAAGGACAGGTGAAATACCTGCTCACATCTGATGACCTTGCACACCTGGGAACCATCCAACTCTGTTCCCCAAGCTCCGTAGCTCCCAAAGCTCGGAGAGGTGGGCCAGTCTCTGTGTCAGTGTCTAGTCTTGGGCACTGACAAGGGCAGGTCTGGGGGGCAACTCTCAGTCCCCAGCGGGTAGCTTTGTCTCCCTCCTCATCCCACCCCCCAGTCCACCTCAGGAACTCCCTGGATAATTCCTGCCACCTTAGGGCAGGCCCGGGTTCCTTCTCCGTGATTTAAGGTCCCCTTTTCTCCAAGTACCTCCATGGGACGCCTTCCCAGGCAGCAACAGAAAAGGTGAAACTGGGCACCCATGACCGCAAACCACTTAGAGACTCTCTTGGCCTTCATTTACAAACATTTCCTTTCACAAAATGACCCTGAGCTGTGAAGCGGTGCAGGTGGTAGTATCCTGACCTTTTCCAGAACAGAAGTGGCAAAGTCAAACTCAATCCAGACTCTGTTTCCCAGCCCACCCCACCTGCAGATTCTTGGGGAGAGAAATGGAAGTTTGGGGGGCATTCAGCAGGTTGCCCTGGGACACAGCAGGTCAGGCGCCCAAATGCCATAGTGTCTGGGGTCCTCAACCTCATTCCAGCCACAACGTTCTCTACTAACCCCTCAAGGCCCCATCCCAGGCCACCCTGGGGGCAGCAGGGAGGGTGCCCGGGTCTGACCTCCTTTCTCCCTCTAGTGAGTCTGGAGTCCAACTCCTCAGTGGCCAAGTTTCCAGTGACCATCCGCTACCCCATCATACCCAAGTTATATGACCCTGGACCAGGTAAGGCCCTTGTTCCCAGGGCCCTGTGATGGGGTCCCATAGAACTATTGATGAAATTAAGAAGGAATTTCCCCTCAGATGGGGCAGGAGGATCTATCAGAATAACAGCTTTGATATGATTTATTCTTTTAAGATTTATTCTTATTTATTTATGCATTCAAGAACTGGGGTACAGGCCAGTGGTATGGGGATGAGAAGATTCACCAGCGATAGAGTGGGGAGCAGAACAGGCATCTCTACTGAATATAATGCTGAGGGGAGCAGTAGGCGGGTCAGGAGAGGTCTGCTGTGCCACTTAGGTCAGCTCCCTGGCCGGGATCAAACTTGGGCTGCAGTGGCTGCAGATAGCTTCATTGTGCTGCACTTTAATCCCTTGTACCAACAGAGAGGCCATGATATGATCCTTTTTTTTTTTTTAGAAGTATTTATGCATACAAGAACTGGGGTACAGGCCATAGGTGTGGGGGGCGGGGGTGGTTTTACTTCCCTTCAGGAGTTGATGTCTTTTGATAATAAGACTTGTCAATCACTTTAGACCCTGGCCACCTGCATTCAGGTGGGACTTTCACGTGTCAACCCTACATTTCAGCCATCCTGCAGCTGGGCTGGTCCAGAAAATCTGATTATTTTGTTCCTTCTCTTTTGCTAGTTGTGATCTTCATTTAAAAAAAAATATTTATTTGTGCATACAAGAACTGGGGCATAGGCCAGAGGTGCCGGGGGGGGGGGGAGGTAAGAGGATTCACCAGAGACAGAGTGGGGAGCAGAACAGGCAGATCTACTGAAGTACACTGCTGGGGGGAGCAGCGGGCGAGACAGGAGAGGTCTGCCACGCCATGTGGGTCACCTCCCTGGTGGGGAATCGAACTTGTGGTGCAGTGACTGTGGATCACTTCATGGGGCTGTGCTTTAACCCGTTGTGCCACCAGGGAGGGCCCCAGTCCATGGCTTCTGACAAAAAGCCTGCCGCTGGATCCACAGGACTCTTATCCCAGCACCCCTCAGAGTCAGCCCCCCAGCCTCCTCCTCTGCTCTGACCCCAGAACACAGCGCCCCACTCCTCCTCTGCTCGCTGTTCTTTTTTTCTGTTCCTTAGAGGAACTGTTTTCCAGTGTGACTATATCTTTGCGTTTTTCTTTTTCATTTTGTGTGTTTGGAAAAGGAGGCCTCTCAAAGCAGAAAGCTATACCAGTGGCTTGTCTGCGAGTCCTTGACCTTGACCCTGCCCAGTGAAGACCATAGCCCAGGCTCTCACTTCAAAAAAAGGACCCATTTTATCATGTGGCCTAAGAAAAGGGAAGAGAGGATTCATTTCACATGATCCTGGACACAGTGTACCTGCCTTTCCACTGATGTCTGTTCCCCTCACTCCCTCAGACCCAGGAGCAGCTGGGGGAATAATGCAATGGGGATTAAAACAGGAGTTCTGGACTGACTTCTGATCCCTGTCGTACAGGAATGACTCTGCTGTGGGGTAAGGAAGCACTCACCCTCAAAATCATAGCAGCAGGGGCATGGCTTTCAGTAAGCCTTGGGCCCCCTGAAGCCCCCCCCCCGAGGCATCCCACTGCTCAGTCATGGGGTCCACATTTATTGAGCAAATCCCAGACACCAGCAGCCCCAGTGGTTTCCTCATGGGGTCTTTTCCATAGAAAAGCTGTCTCTGCTCAAACCTTCTAAGTCACTCGCATAAGACGAACAGTCTGGGCCAGGCCTTCCAGCCTCCAAGTTGGCCTGTTTCCACTCTTGTCTTCCTGAGGAGGAAGGTCAAATAGGCTTCTGTGGAGGAACTGTGACTGTTGACAGGCAGGTCTAGAACGTCACAGCCTCGTGACCCTCCACATGAAACCCTCTGGCGGGCAGCTGAGCTCCTGGCAGTCACACGGCAGCTGGGTGCAGCCACGGGTGCTGACAGCAAACACAAAGTCTAGCAGAAATGGTGCAGTGGAGCCAACAGAACCAGGCAAAGAAACTAGAAGCCCGCTGCAATTTTAACAAGTTGGCCATGTTTGAGGATGTGTATTTTAAATCCCGTGAGCAAGCTCTTCAGCACCTACCGAGACATGCGACCCATAAACGTGTGAGGTCATGCACAAGGGACAATGCTGCCCAGGACAGTGTGGCTGCTGGGCGGGCAGAGCTCTGACCTCCCCCTCTGCTGCCCAGAGAGGAAGCTCAGGAACCTGGTGACCATCGCCACCAAAACTTTCCTCCGTCCCCAAAAGTTCATGACCATGCTCCAGAGTGTTCGCAAGTATTACCCAGATTTGACCGTGATTGTGGCTGACGACAGCAAGGAACCCCTGAAAATCGATGACAAATACGTGGAGTATTACTTCATGCCCTTTGGGAAGGTATGTACCTCCCAGGGAGGGAGACATCTGGGTGTGGGGGTGTCGGGTCCAGAGTCATGTTCTGCCCTGGGTGGGGCTGCCCCAGGGAATCAGGATGCTGGCGTGGGAGGGGGCAGAGCCTCCCTGAGTCCCCTGCTGACACCAAATTCACAGAAACTGAGTCTCACTTTCAGCAGTCATGGGGCAGTAAGTCCACTTTTCCTGACACTTGCTGTGGGAATTGTTTGAGGCCTTCTAAATGACGTGACGTGTCCAACGTCCCGATGGTTCCATCCAAGCTGGAGTATGCCCTCCTCTGTCTATCTCCCCCCCGCCCCAACTTTGAGAATGCAAAGAAGGAATGGCTAGGGAAGCACCCCTCCTCCAGCCCAGTGGGAAAGGAGCCACAGAAATCCTCTCAGGTGAAAAGGGCCGAGAGCCACCGGCCACAGGTGAAGGAAGGCTTGCTTTTTCGCTTTGTCTCAGTCACTGACCCAGAGGGGTCCGGCGCCCTGAGCGTGGAGGACTAGGGCGCCCAGCTTCAGCTGAGCACTGGGTTTGCCCATGCAGGTTCTGACTTAGTTTGTCTGGGACACGGGCTGGCCATTGGGAGCCGGGAAAGTGCTCCACGCGGCCCTTCTGACACGTGGTGAGGGTCTCACGTGGTGAGAGATTTCAGATATCACAGAGGACAGACATCTAGAAGGGAAGTGGAAAACTAACATGCCCACCCAGTAATGGGCCCTGCTCCGCCTCCAGGGCTGGTTTGCTGGTAGGAACCTGGCCATCTCTCAGGTCACCACCAAATATGTTCTCTGGGTGGACGATGACTTTCTCTTCAACGACAAGACCAAGGTGGAGGTGCTGGTAGACGTGCTGGAGAGAACCGAATTAGACGTGGTAAGGGAAAGCCGTCAAGCTCTCCTCAGCTGTAACCTGTAGACCAAGCATTCCTTGGCTATGCTCCCGGAGGCCACCTCACAACAGAGATAAAGCGGTAGGATAACCCAAGTTAGCACTTGCCTCTGCCTCCTGGCCCCCCCTCTCACTCTGCCATCCTCCTGGTCCAGAGGAAGAGGGAGGAAGTGGAGGACAAGCAGCTTCTTTTAAGAATGTGACGTGGAAGTTACAGGTGCCCATTCTAAATCATATCTGACTTCAGAACTTGGCCACGTGGTCAAACATTGTGAGAGAAGGAAATATGCTGGATAAAGTTGTCATGTTAAAACTCAGAGGGGTTCACTTACTAAAAGGGAGAAGAAAAGAGTCTGTGATCGTGAGGGGCACTACACTTTACGCCACCCTAGGTGATTGGTGGGCTCTAGAAAAGGTGAGCTTTCTGCACGGGAAGCAGAAGTTGTCAGTCTTTGGACTTGGTGCAGGTGCTCTCTGCTCCTACTGGGGCAAGCAGGAATGAAAAGATCTTGACCTCCCAATCAGTAGTTACTGAAGACTGTGGCTGAAGCAGCTAAAAAGAAAGGGGGCAGTATAAAGGGTCACTGGAGAAAGGTGTGATTCTTGATGTACTGTGGTTCAGTCCAGGGAGGCTTCCTGGCAGAGGCAACCTGCTTTCTAAAGTGACTTTTCTGCCCACCGGCTAGGTAGGCGGCAGTGTGCGTGGAAACACATTCCAGTTTAAACTGTTGCTGGAGCAGGGCAAGGATGGGGACTGTGTTCACCGGAGGAGAGGCTTTTTCCAGCGCCTGGAGGGCTTCCCCAACTGCGTGGTGACCAGTGGTGTCTTCAACTTCTTCCTGGCCCACACAGAGAGGCTCCAGAGAGTTGGCTTCGACCCCCGCCTGCAGCGAGTGGCTCACTCAGGTGAGAGGCTGGAGGAGGGCGGGAGGGAGTTGGGCTAGACTTGGCCATGGAAATTTATTATTTCTGAGGCCAGTGTACCACACAGCCCCCCAGTCGGGGCTTACCCAGCAACTGTGGGTTTCTTTCCCCTCTCAAACTAGGGAGCTCATGGATTCTGTTACTTCTTTTCGCCTAAGACATGACCTGATCATTCCCTTCTAATGCCTTAGCCTTGACAGGTGGTTTTTTTGTTTTTTTTTTAAAGATTTATTTATTTGTGTATACAGAACTGGGGTACAGGCCAGAGGCTCAGGGCTGGCGAGAGGCTTCACTAGAGACAGAGTCAGAGTGGGGAGCAGAACAGGCAGATCGACGAAGTACACTGCTGAGGGGAGCAGCGGGCAGGTCAGGAGAGGTCTGCCACACCATGTGGTCACCTCCAGGGCAGCTGGGAATCAAACTCAGGTGGAAGTGACTTTAGCTTCTCAGTGTTGTGCTTTAACCCGCTGCGCCACCAGGGAGGGCCGACAGGTGGTTTTTATAAGGGGCTCAACCTTCCCCCAAAGGTATAAACTGTCCCCCTTACCTTTCAGACCAGGACTGTAACCCTGGGTCTTTGGCAGAAACTGACATTTTCTCCTCACGTGTCCCTCTCTTTGTAGAGTTCTTTATTGATGGGCTCGGAAGCTTGTTCGTGGGGTCATGTCCAGAAGTAACTGTAGGCCACCAACCTTATTCTTCAGTGGTGGATCCGGAGCTGACCACCCTGGAGAAGACTTACAAGACATACCGGGCCAACTCCAAGTCCCAGGTCCAATTCAAGATGGCCCTCCACTACTTCAAGAACCATTTCCACTGTTCCACTTAAAGGTGCCTGGCCGTCGGAAAAGCACTAGGCTCACTGGTCGTGGTAACCAGTGGCTGAGTGACCATGAACAGGACTTCTGGGAAAGGCGCGGTGCAAGGCGCGGGCAGACTTAGCTCCTGGTGACGAGAAGTCGTCAGCTGTTAGTCGGGAGTCAGCCAATGCTACAAAGCTGCTGTGGTTCCCCTCTTTCCTACTGGAAGAGTCCAGGGTAGTTAGGATGTCTGAGAATGTACCTGTGGGGCTATGAATAAACCATCATGAAAAAGAAATGTCTTGCTGATCAAATAATGTTGAAAACTGCTGTATACTGAGCCTCCCTCTTGGAAAATTCACATTCGTATATGGAACACTCCAAGTCCTGCAGCCAATAACTGGGTTAACTTTCTTTAATGCAACATTTTTCAGATATGGATATAGACTGGCAATCAGTTCTTTTTTTTTTTTTTAAGATTTATTTATTTATTCATATAGAACTGGGGTACAGGCCAGAGATGCAGAGGGTGAGAGGATTCACCAGAGTGAATCCTCACAGAGTGGGGAGCAGAACAGGCAGATCCACGAAGTACACTGCTGAGGGGAGCAGCAAGCAGGTCAGGAGAGGTCTGCCACACCATGTGGTCTCCTCCGGGGCAGGCGGGAATCGAACTCATGCGGAAGCGGCTTAAGTTTCTCAGTGCTGTGCTTTAACCCGCTGCGCCACCAGGGAGGGCCAGCAATCAGTTCTTATTCTCCAAAACCAAAATTCAACCTATTGGAAAAACCTACAGCTTGTACTAACTTGCATGGTAATTTCATACAATAGTTCCTGTATTTTATGTACAATGACCTAGCTAGGTAAGATGATGCTGGATTGTTCCATTTCATGCTGCCTTTGGCCCAGGCAAGGAGTCCCCTCACCAGGGGTGAGGACGTTGCAGGGCTCTCTGGAGGCCTAGGGGTTAAGTCCCAGCTCTAACACCCCTATGGCCTATCCCAGCCAGAGAGCTTACCCAAATACGGTGCAGCAGACCTCTCTCGCTGCTCCCCTCAGCAGTGTATTTCAGTAAATCAACCTGTTCTGCTCTCTGTCTTTCACCCCCCTTTGGCCCACGCCCCGTTCTACTTAAAAGAAAACAAAATAGGGGCCCTCCCTGATGGCGCAGCAGGTTAAAGCACAGCACTGAGAAGCTAAAGCCACCACAGCATGAGTTCGTTCCCCACCCCAGAGGTGACCCACATGGCGTGGCAGACCTCTCCTGACCCGCCTGCTGTTCCCCTCAGCAGTTTACTTGGTCAGTCGCCCTGTTCTGCTCCCCACTCTGTCTCTGGTGAAGCCTCTCTCTGCCCTTGCATCTCTGTACCCCCGTTCTGTATGCATAAATAAATAAATCTTAAAAATAAAAAAACCCTGCATATCACAACCACATATACTTCTGGTGAACGTGTCACGCAGTATCCAGTGCTCAGCACCAGGACAGCACAGCCCGTACCTAAATCTCCATCTTGGGTTAAGACTCTTCAGGCCCCAGAGAAATGCTTCTCCATTTGCCTTGTGCCCTCAAAACAAAGGACAATTATACCCAGATGCACTGAAAGCTTGGATGTTACTTTGGAGTTCAGGTAAGATTTGAACTGCAAAATGTGTAAATAGAAGGAAAAGACCCTTTTTGATTTTTCCAATTCTTCCTTTCCTATCAAATAACCATAGAGTTGTGCCTCCTCCCAGTTTTTTTGTCTTGCAGTCCATGGTTCAAAAAGCACTAAGAAATCTGTGTTCAGCAGCTCACATGGTAGCTCAAGACCTTTAAAAAGAGTACATAGCTTTCTTACTCTTCAATTTTTAATGTATGTAAATCTGGATGTCTCATAAGTGTTGTACCGGTTTTTTAATTGGGAACTAGGTAGTTATTGAAGGCTAAAATTTAATGATTTTATTTTTTTTTATTTATTTTTTTTAAAGATTTATTTATTTATTCATACA